CACCTCTATTAGTCTATTCAAAGTATGAAGATCGCTTCGACAAACTAGGGACAAGAAGAACACAACGAAAAGTAGCGGATAATAAGAACACAAAATGCTGTTAATATAGACGATACTTACCACAATTAAGTACATTCTTTTGAAGTGTTTTTGCTACGCTAAGTCTAACGTTGGGTATTCTATCTGACAACAGCGACAACAAACTTGGTAGAAACTCCTTACAGAACTGCACTCCGCTCTCTGCGTCATCCTCCATYAGGGTGTGGCACAGCTGGGCATAACTACGAGAAAATTGCCGAGGTWAATGTCTTTTCAGGCGAGAATGGTTGGGAGTCTTGTTGTTTAGTTTTCATAGCATCAGTGAACGARTGTGATACTGCTATATTTTGGGACAATTTTGGCGGTTTATGGTACTAMAGTACCAAAARGCACTAACCAAYTAATATGGACATACAGGTAAATGTGATATAGTCTAACATGACGTCTTCTAAAGATGATCGCAAAGGAATATAAGAAATATTCAAAACCGCAACAAAATCACGTATTAAAAAAAGAATGAACAAAAATGACCTTTCCCAATACCCATTTCCTGGTTATATAACTGAGTAAAWATACCAGAGAATGCAGTGAACCGAAACCTGTATGCAAACTTGGAAATCTCTTGATTTGACTTTGGTATATTGCTTCTAAACATTTAAAATCGTCGTTAACTACTCACGCTTGTCTTCGAGTCCATTGTTGGCTATTCGCAAACTTGACAATAATGTCGGACACAAATTTACGAACAGGACTGTCGTCCTCTGTATCATGAAGACGACGAAGAAGTACACCAATCTAAACAGACAAAACAACCTGGTAAGAACAGTAACTAACTTCACAAAACAACCTGGTAAGAACAGTAACTAACTTCACACGTGAAAAAACTTGAAGAGTATCTATTTCCCCATGGTTATTTCCCATCACAACTATTAATCCTCTGATTCAGCGACAGTTTCTCCATTTTGGAACGATTTTTATTGTGTAAAAAAGGTTAACAAGTATTTGAACTCGACATATTTTTGTTTTGTTTTGTTACATAGCATTATGAAAGCACATCAGATGTCTTGAATTGCGCGAAATAATTGGCTGCCGGTCAAGTGATCATATACTGGAATGATGCAATTTCAGCCATTTTTTATTGAGTTTTAAAGTTAATATCTAAAACAGCTCTCAGAATAATGTTTGTTTGGCAAACTTCATMGACGCTCGAGAGGTCTGGAGCAAGTGAATGTCCATTCTGAAATTCTAACCATGGTGTACACAGGCAAGAAAATAGCATGAGTACACGATATTTTGCAAAATATTATTTTCTGTAATAAGACAATTCAGGTGGCCGAGGTTCTTACCAGTTTAAACGCTATATTTCTGACATCAGCTACCCTGTCCGTTGCCAAGGTGATTGCTATTGGGCATATGTACTGTTGAATACACTGTGCATTGTACAACTCTGATATTCGCATCAGTTGCCTGTAGATAATGTATATATCACCATTCAACATACTTCCATGGCAAGTAATAAATATATCTAGGTCCCAATGTATTATCAACACAAACAACAACAGTTCAAAAGGTCAACGTCTGGGCTTTAGTGACTTACTCGGCTAATTCATGTCGAAACCTCCAGTTTCTATTGTTATCAGTAGTGAGGAAATCCACAAGTACTGGTAAATAGTCCATTTGGATATCTACTGGTAAAAGCTGAAAAAGCACAACATAAATAGTTATTAACAAATGACCGAGTTTTCTGAAAAATAATAATTTCAAAATTGAATTAAACTAAAGAAATCACCCAAAATAACTGAAAGACTCGAGGTTAGAACTGATCATGAATTGGTTATYCCATTTTCCATTCTTGACTCGAAGCTGAGAGTTTTATGCAAGTAAGTCACTCACTCGCTCTTTTTCCTGTAAAAATCGACTTGACGTGCATTTGGGGTTTTCGTCACCTTAATTCATTCAAATATTCAATTCCAGCAAATATTTTCGCTACCAGTCCTCACACAGACAAAATGCCATTTCGAGCGTCTCATTTCCTTACCCACCTGACGTGGAAGAAACATTAACGAAAATACTTCGCAAATCGTATAAAACAGGACTCTAGTTCACTGTTTCAAAGTGTTCGAAGAAATTACAAGTAACTGAGACCGTTATAGTTGGTCCTGACTGTATCATTCCAGCGCATACATTTAAATTTGAAGACAAAAGAACATTGATAACCAAACAAACCTCTATAAAATCTGCTAAGTGCTTGAGAACTCCTATTCTAACCTACAGACAAACAGACTGGTTTAGAAAATATCAGGATCGTCATAGCAACTGGGGAAGGTGGCAAYACGTCATTKTCGACCATGTGAAACCTAAAAACATGGCTGCCTTTTTATCGGCATATCAAGCACTAAAGAAAATCCACTTAAATGCCGACAGTGATAACTTCCACCAGCAAAATRAACAGAAGGAAAAGGAAGTGAAGAGGGAGGAGACAAAGAGGAGGTGATTTGAGGAGGAAAAGGAGGAGATGATACACACTTTCATACCTCATCTAAATCTTTAAGAAAGCTGTTAAAAGTCGGAACAAGCTCCATTCTTGTCATTTCTTCACCAAGTACTTTAGCTAATTCATGGATAGAGAATGCTAGTGTCCTCCTTACCTTCCACTGTAACAAAAATACCATTTAACCTCATACCGATACATTAATACATATATGAAGTTTATCAGTTGTGATATTTTGAAGTATAAACCTCAATGCATACAGACAACAATATCTCTTACATCCAACAAAAAACCAAATCGATTTGACACACAACTTTACAAAAAAAGTGTACAAAAAAACCTCAAAGTGATGAAACCATACAAACCTGCATATCTGAAGACAAGTATTCATAAGTATCTCGTAAACATGGCCAGTTATGTCTACCTAGTGTAAGAGTAACTGCAGGAAARCTAAAAGCACAATGTCGTGCTATCTCAGTATCAATTGTTTGTGCCTTCGATGGCTCTGTCATTGAGATGTAGTGGTCCAAAAGAGCTTGAGGAATCACATTCTGCAAAAACAAATGTTATCGTGGGTTTTTGCAGACCATTAAAACAATATTTATGGCTAATCAAATCGAAAAGATACTTGATKTAGACTAATAATTGTAGATTCAGATACATCAACCTAGACTAATTTAACTTTATTGCCCCGTACTTTAACAATGACAATAACAACAAGTCAAAATACCGAAGGAAAGACAGACTACTTCTTTTTACATTTTCAGCGGCTTGCCGCGATAAATTCTTGCATATTTCTGGCAGCTCCACATAAAATACTTATTCAATTTTTAAATGAAACAGAGGAAAATGCTAGCCAATCAAAATCCATATTTGATAGTCTGATGTCACAGCTTTTTCTCCTCTCGAAAAAGACCCGGTAAAAGAGGTATAACGTGCGTACAGTTGGGAACCCTGTGTCGGTCCCTGGTTTGCCCTATTTTATTTTTTCTTAATATGGATGAGGTCTAATAATCTACATAGTCTAATAAATTACATAGTGATAATCATTTACATTGTATTAGTGGTAGGTTTTCCTTCAAATGACTATACATAAAGCACTAGTAAATATAATGGAAATATAATACACTCTTCTTACCTGTTGAGGTGGAGGCGTCATGCGGTCTCCCAGGAGCAGGTCATCTTCAAAGGACATCGAGTGTTGAARTTTKCCTTTGTTGTAATCGCGATCATAATCAAACTCATCATGAMCATCATCAGTCAGTGAAAACAATGGATGCTCTACTTCTTCTTCACTRTCACTCTCATCCTTATTGACCTCATTTTTCAATATATTAAAAACTTGTTTGTTTTCGCTATCTGCTGTTTTTACACTTGATTTTTCTTCTACATCACTAGTTAGACTGATAAATGCTTTTTCGGTGCTGTTAAATTCACTTATATCGATCTGTGGTAGGGGATTTCTCCAAAATAAAAAAGAGTTAAAATATTTTTCATCAACGTCATCATCAAGGTCTGTCGTTGGGCAGTGTGTGCATTTTCCCATTTCCCTTGTACAGCTAAGCTCAGCTTCTGCGCAGTGATGACCGMTTTTYGTATCTCCACCGCTTGTAACTTCGATGGGTTCTTTAGAAATATCATGGTCTGCATTTAACTCGGGAGGTGAGATGTACCCTGAATCTGTGGTATTCGCTTCTGGCGATGAACCTCGCTCTCTTAACACAGAGTCTTTATCTTTCTCGCCAACACTACAATCAATTTGCAAAACATAAAGTGTCAATATAACAAGCTTTCGTAAAACTACTAACGTAAACTAACGGTGWAAATGCAGGGTTCGTACAGATTTGTTCATACAAAATTCAAGGACTTTTGAAGGACTTTTKAAGGATTAATTTTGCTTTAAAGCTTGGCTAAATTGATCCCCAAAACATTACTTTAGAACAACCAAGACTGATTCAAGGACTAAATTATCATTTTCAAGGACCTTTCCTCCAAATTCAAGGACTTTTCAAGGACAATTTGTAGTCAAGGACTTTTTAAGGACCTAGCTCAAAAATCAAGGACTTTTCAAGACTGTACGAACCCTGAAATGAAATGTCTTTTTTTTGCATTACAACTGTAACTAATTCCTACACTGTTGAGAGAGTGAACAAYCTTTCCCTTTAAGGACAGGGAGTCCAAGCAATTATATCTACAAAACATGCGACTRTATGGGCTATATGTGTATGGAAGGGAGACCACAGGTAGCCCACTCTCACAATTTGTCGGCTTTCCTATGAAGCTCTTATGCAGAAAAAAAATCAATAATAGTGGTAAATCTCAAAGCCACATGTATACAAAGTTTTAGCTCCTCACAGTGAAATAAACTAAAATAAACTGTCTTTTTTCTAAATGTTTGCACCGTTGTTGATAATATTCACTAAAAGGTTAGTTACTGTGAAAACTGACTTCCTCTAAACAATGACAATTTTCTCACATGAAATTACAAATCGGGCAAATTTCGACGAAAGAATGCTAAATTTCCTATCAATGAAACAAACTGGTAAGTTGTAATGGGTATTGTACGTTCAGCCAGACAGGGTATTGTAATGGGTATTGTACGTTCAGCC